GAAAGAGTGCGTGATGCAGACTAGCACATTGCATACTGTAGTGTTGTAGACAGGAGGATTGTGCCTGATTTGCATTAATCCATGTAACTTTTCCGGTTTAACTCACAACACGTATTCTAGACTGATGGATATTAAAGAATGTAAAAGAGAGAAAATGACCATGTTAAAGAAAAGCAGAGCTTGAACAAATCTGAATATATCTCTGTTAAGGGGCTGAATTTATGGAACTTGATGAATTTAAAAATGTGTAAAACAATCATGTTTAGGAAAATCTATCAGTGTTCAAAATAAAGTACTGATACAAGTAACACGTTTTGTGTTTATGAGAATACTGCTGCTGGTTTGTTTTGAGAACTGTATTTATTAAAATGCATGAAAATAAAAGTACACTGTATATTCCCCACTAAGTGATGCTGTTAACGAGGATGTGTTAATGGGACAGAGGAACCCACCCACCACCCTCAGCAGCTGCTTCACTGTGAACCCACTGTGAGATGCTAATAATAATCTAATTATTATATTATCATCATCCTAATTAGATGCTTGGTGCTTCTGTCACCTGCTAGTTTGGATAGAGGTCAGTGCTGCTCTCTGGTGGCAGAACAATGGAACTACAGCTGTGTCATGTTCACTGTTACTTCACTTTGTGCTTTACTCTGCAGAATGATGTATGTGCACAGTTTAACTCTAGAGGAACGCTGCCACATCCATCTGCTGGAGGAAGTAAATCTGTTTAATACGTGTTTATATGTGATGATGCTGTGAACCATAACTTTAGTATATTACAGAGACTGAGAATAAACGTGTCCACACATCTTGTGCCCGCTACCAAACCTTTTTAAAAGGAAGATATTCTTACATTTTTAGTGAAAGAGAAGGCTCAGATGTAATTTGACAATTTATTTTGGCAGGATAAATGATCTTTTACAGCACAAATCCTACAATAAATCAGATTATAGTTTGTCTTAAAGGGAGAGTCTTTCATTTACTCTCTGGCTCAAAGTGATCAATCATATTCTTTATAAATACAATCTTCATAGTAAAGTCATGCTGTTAAAATGAACACGTTAAGTAAAGTCATTCAAATTGCAGTTAAATTGATCTCAAGTTGTGACATTGTTATGTTAACAGTGTCTGGATGCTGCTGCTATAAATAACATTGCATAAAGCAAAACTAAATATTTCATGAATTTATTGAACATTTGTCTTGGGAAACCCTCTTTGGAAAATAGGTAGAGCTATAGTTCCCTCTGAAATGTGGTGGACAAAGAGTATAAAGTGAGTGAAACAAGAATATAATGGGTGAGGAAATCTTTGGATTCCAACATGAAGGACTAACACGTTTCTTTCTGACTGATCTGATGCCATAAATGAAACCGAAGTGAAAACCCACTGGCCTCGGTGCCACTAGCTGCTGCTAGTCTGGACCTGTCAGCACCTGTTTACATTCCTACTTGTTCCACTTTGCAGTGTGTGCAACACGGTCAGTCTGCCTCTGTCTCTCTCTCTCTCTCTGCCGTGCTCGTCATTCATGATTTTACCTGTTTTATTGTGTTTTTCATTTTATTTTGGGTCACTTTTATTGTCTGTAAAGGAAGCTCGGCATACAGGGAGGCTCAGTGTCAACACAATGTGTGCATACAGTCACATCCTGTTGTAATCATCTTTGATTGTATGCTTTATATATTTTGCATTTTTAGCCACACTAGTGACGTCACTCTGATGCTAGTCTCTCAGTTGGTCTACCATTTTGGTCCTGCCTGAAATGCTGTAGCTCTACATCTATTGGATGGATTGCCAGGAAATAGCTTAGATTTGAGTGTCTTTGTGGTCATGTGATGCTGTAGCTCTACATCAATTGGATGGATTGTCAGGAAATAGTTTAGATTTGAGTGTCTTTGTGGTCATGTTGCACATCTTTGCAATCACTCTGTATATTTGTTGTCATTTTCTCTTTCTTTGTGGTTGCTTTATGTCTTTTTCAGCTTATTTGAACACCTGACCAACAAGAAGTGTTAACACAAGTCAAACAGAGACAGGGGTCTGGGGGTCTGAGGGTTTAGGGGCCCCTGGGCCTGTGGACAGTAGTCAAACCGGTAATCCATCCCTGCTGCTACCTGTCACCTTCTTCCTCAGGTAGGACCCGGGTCTGTGCCATCACGGACCACCTCTCTGGATCTACGTCCTCATTCCACACTTCAGCACAAGGAGCCACATCAGTTTTGTCAGCTCATTGTTTTGTCCTCCATTTTTTTCAGTTGGTGACGTCACTCAGCCGGAGCGCAGCGCGTGCAGCGCCGCTCTGTATGGTGAGCTCGCGACCGGGGCCACAGGGAAGCTTGGAGAAAGTCTTTAACCGAAACCCAACGCAGCGGCAGTACTGGTCTTAGGACTACAAGACATTTGAACAGTTTCGCACCTCCGGAGCCGCCGAACACCGAGCCCAAGTGTTGAAGTAACCCGGGAGGACGTTTCGACGTACAACGTTGTGTTGAGGTGAACTTGTCCCGAGTTGTTGTGGTGGGTGTTAGCGACAACACAACAACGGGAGGGGGAATAATGCTGTCTCCGTTTTGCCCCAGGCAGACAAGAGGACAGTAAAGCACAAAGAAGGAAAGAAAGAACGGGGGAGAGATGGCCGAGGCACGGTCTGAAGAACAGGAGGACGTGACGAGGGACACCCGGGAACAAGTGGCCCGACGACAGCCAAACAGCTCCGGAGGTAAAGGAGCGAAAACATTAACGCAGCTCGTTTTAAACGGATTCCATCTGATATCGATTGAAACAGTCGATATCTGTGTGACAGTTCAATTGTCAAGCTTAGGGTGAAAATAAAGACTTAAGGTGCAGCTATAGACGGACAGATAGGAGCTAGGTCACTTCTTCTTATAGGCTAATTAATGTGGAGCTGCACTATTGTGTTGTGGTGTTTTCATTGAGTTTGTGGTGTTTTCATTGAGTTTGTGGTGTTTTCATTGAGTTTGTGGTGTTTTCAGCTACTGTGGGATCTTCAGTCCTCCTCCGGAGTCTTCCAGGTCTGTGGTATTTGTAGTATCCCTGTGAAATCTCTCATAGGGCTGCAAGTATTTGTACAAGTGCACAGTACAGGCAGTACTAAAAGTATCAGTAACTTACTGATTTAATCAAATATGATGAAGCCAACAAGTAGTTTATAGCAGGTATCATTAACAAGCGGACAGAAAATTAACTGGTTGCAATACATGGCTGTTTTCATCACTGATCAGTCTGCCAACTGTTTTAATGATTAAAATATTCATCACAGCTTTCCCAAGGTGACCTCTTCAGATGTTTTGTTCAAGTAAAAGTACAAAAAGCAGCAGGTATTCAGTTTAATCTCATTAATGACAAAGATAAGCAGCAGGCCATCACATTGTAGAGCTCAAAAACAGGCATCCTGTTGGAGTCTTCTCAGGAATTGTGCTTGAAAATGACTGAAACAATTAATCAGTTATACAAACAGTAGCAGATGATTTTTCAGATTATTCCTTTCAGCTCTGATAATTAACCGATCAATCAGTCAGTATTTTAAGTAAAATGTCAAACACTCACTGTTCTGGCTTCTCAGTTGTGTAGATTCTGTGATTTTTAATCACATATGTGCTTTAAAGTCAGTTTCTCACAGTGTGGGGACTGAATGAGTTGCCTGTTGTGGGAGAATAGTTGATAATGAAGGACAACAAAAAGATGGAATTGACTACTTCCTTTAAGGTTTATTCTTAAACAGCTGATAAGAGAGTCAAAGTGCAGGCAGAACATCCCGTGGGTGTAACCTACATCAACCCAAAGCCATAAATTTTTGTATCAGCATGTGAGCATATCATCATTTGGGGTGAAGTTCACACATGCAGAGACAAATATGCACCCACACCCTCACTGAAACATTCCCAGTTGACTGTAGTGGTGCAGGCTGGTGCTGAGACTTACAGTCATTAGCTTTATGTGCAAGTCTTTGTCTTATTCGGGGAAACACAAGGTGTAATTTAAAATGTCTGGACTTTCTGTGGCTGTGTACTTGAGTTTAGCCTACATCAGTGGCATTGCAGAAAACCATGGAAATACTTTTTAACATGTTAATCATTTAACCTCACCTCACAGTGGGGTTAAATTTTAACTGTTGAGCTTCTCAAGAGACTAGTCTTTAAACAACAAGTCAGAGATGAACAAAAACAGAGTGTGGCAGGGAATCAAATCAGACATCAGAAGGTGGGGCGGGACTGTTATTCCTCCAACACAGAGCAGATTCGGAAACACTTTAGGATGTTTCCTGTGCTCATCTGTTGTTCTCTGCCAAAGAGAACACTCTTTTTTTAGTTTCCAAACAGTTTGGAATAAACAGAAGAAGAAATAGGAAGTTAAATTGCACTGACAGGTGACAACAGGTGGCCTTTAATCTGGCAGAAACACTGCAGCAGTAGGAGCTGAGTGAAAGAGAAAACGTCCACATTGCTTATAAGCACAGGTTTAAAACATGACAAAAGTGTACATTTGTTGTTTCTTACAGAGAGCGGTGAATAAATTGGCCTCGTCATGGTTTGCAGCCCATATTCACTACTGTTAACAACTTAATCACGTAAAAACACAGGCACAGTATTTGCTGCTCAGAGTTAAATCAGCCTTTGTAGTGTAATGAAAACCAAACGTGATCGTTGTGAGCTGAGGAATTTGCATCAGATGTGGGCTTCATCATTTGTGTTTACCTAAACGAATTTAGATTCTTCAAAATATTTTGCAGCATGGAGAAAATTTTACTGGTTAGTGACAAACAGCAACAGATTGTCTCACAGCTACTGCACGTGTGTGTGTGTGTGCACGTGTGCATGCAGCATTCCTGTGTTCTGGGCTTAAATGCAATCTGCCATTAATTTTCTGGCATCTGAAATTAGTTGTTTCCACTGTGTTTGTCTTTAGCTTCTCCTTATGCAGCTTCATCAAGAGTTACATCTCAACTCAAGCAGCAGGTTTTTTGCTTTTTTGTATTAGAAAGATAAACAATTAAATGTCTCCAGACTGATTGGAAAAGCTTTGAGATGTGCCCGCTAGAAAGTCATCCCCTTTTTAACCACACGCTTGTCTGTAAACATGATGGGCGGTAAATGTCCCATGTGAGTGTCTAATGATGGACCGATTAATCAGGCCCTAGTCGCTAACTAGCTGCTAACGCTGCTTATTGTTGTGTCTATCTGTTGTTTGTTGCCAGGCAGCTAGTTTATAACCTGAAAACAGTGTGAAGAGTGTAGAGAGTCAAAGAAAATACTCCTAACAGCTGTTAAGTACGGCCAGCCTGCTATCACTGGGATGGTCAACCATGCTGTAGGCTCCTGGAGATAAACATCCGGTCTGGGACCAGTGACGTCTGAACCCAAGAAACCAAACAGATGACGAGCGCTGAGGAGAATTTGCTGCAGTGTGCATCTGCATGTTTGAACGTAGCTGCAGTACAAAGCTCAACCGGCAAGCTGCAGGATGAACATCTGGAAGTGTTAAAACTCCTGATGACTCCAGCAGAATCCCACAGCACCCAATCACAGCCTCACTTCCTGGAGGATCTCCGCCAATCAGGAGGCTGGCCAGAACAGACGGGCGGTCCATTTGGAGTTTTACAGAAGGAGGGACAGGCGAGAAGAGGTGGACAGAACTGAGAAAACACAGATTTAGAGTTTTGAAAAGTAGAATAGGAAGGAAAGTAGCAAAGGGAAGAAGTGTTGGCAGAATATTTTCCAGCCACGTCAACATTTAGTCTCTCTGGATGCCACAGAAGTGTGAAGAGAAGGAGAGGAGGTAGGAAATGGGGGAAAAGCCCAGCTCTGCTTTGGAGAGAGAGAATCTGCTTTGTCTTTGTCTCTCCTTTTTGTTCTGCTTCAAAATGTGATTGTTGTTTTTTCATTTTTCATTTTTGTTGCTTAGTGCTCATTACTGTGATGTTTCTGCATTGCACGCCACCTGTCAATCAGCGTGGTCAGTACCTGTGATGTCCTCTTTGGATTTTCTTTTTTAGTCTCTGTAGGTGGCACAGTTTTCTGTGTGATCACCGTTTCTTCTTCTTCTGCTGTGTATTCCAAACAAACTGTACACACACAACGCATCACTTCCTGTGTGGCACAGAGTTGTTTGTAATCACAAAAGCATTTTCTGATAAAGTTTACGACCTTTTCTGTGGTTATCTTTTTTTTTACATGACATTGAACTTGACAATGTGTTTTCTGAAAAAGATGGAGGATTTTAGCCCCATGCTGCTCATTCACGAGGTTGAGGTATCGTTTGGAAATCTGTGAACACTGGTACCAGTACTGTGTCTGAGTTTGGCTACGCTGATTTTTCTGTTTCTCACTTTTAAACTATTTTTCCATTTAACAAACTCAGCCAAACCGCTCTCTACGCTGTTTGGGTGAAAAAGTAAAACGGTAAAGAAGTTTTAGATCATAAGAATCTGTCTGATTCAGAGGCCTATGAATCACAGTGTCTTTCTGTGTGCAGGTCGCCCTGACAGACGTAAGCCAGAGCATCGTCACCGCTCTTCCTCCACTGCCCAACTTGGTTGTTTAAGATGAGCAACTCTAACCAGGAATTGTGTATTTAATGTGACCCAGGTGTAGAGCGTGGGTTTTGGCCAAGCCGGTGTGTTTGATGTTGAATCCAGGTGAAAGCTCTGCTCTCTTTGATCTCAGCCTGTGATGACAGTTACGTCTGTGGCTCTGATGCCATTTGAAGTATCACAGAACAAACCTGCTGCCGCCGGCGTCAGTAAACACGCTGGCTTCTGCTCCGGTGTAGGACTCCTCTCCTCAGGATTTTCAGGGACTACTTTTCCTACTTTCCCTCCTTCAGTTCTCTGGGTCTGACACGCTCCTGAAAGTATTTTGGCCGTTGGCCAGTTGGTATGGCAACTAGCCGAGGAAGTCACAGGGTTTATTGACTGCATGTGTTTATGTTTATGGGGAAACCAAGCCTTGGTTTGAGTGTATTATACTTAAAACACATAACTAGAGTACAGCATGGGCTGTGAATGTATGAAAGGGAGTAGGCAGAGTAGGTAACCACCATGGATTTACTGTTAAGGCCGTAGTTGTGTTAAGTCAGTGTTTCTATGTTTGTCTGATGACTTTATGGTTTTGGAGGTTTTTCCCTTTGTGACATCAGGGTTTAACATGGATGCGTTTAAGGGATTTACCCCCTAGCGCTGCTAGAGATCAGAACCTCCTCAAAGGGCTCATTTAAATCCTTGTTTTTATTTTTACGGTTACTTCTGTCACTCGGTGTGAACAGCCACAGTATGGAAGTGCGTGGGGAGACATTGATTCTCATTTGTATGATTGGTGACATTCAGCCTTTTTTGTGAAGGGACAACCACTGGTTTGGATGCAGTTGAACTGCTCGACCACCAGTTGCACACACCCCAGAGTGATGTAATGGGACAAGAGGAAAAGCAACATTTGCCAAACACTGCAGTGTTTACAAAGTAGAAAAAAACAACGGCTACAAAACAACCACTAAGTTAACACCTCTGACTGTCCAAACAGCATCTGAAGATCGTAGTTGTCGTGTGTTTGTCTTGTGCAGCCCTTTTCAGTGAACAGGCAGAAACAGAGTGTTTTTCCATCACGGTTTTAAGTAAAGCAGCGAGCTAGTGTGTGTTGGGCAGTGTCAGGGGTGAGTCATGATGTCTGCTCATGGTTAGCAGCTATGTGGCAGAAAGACAGAGCAAGAGACTGAAAACAGACTGAGTCGGAGAGAAAGGGACTTGGGACAACATCTGGGTGAGTCGGCTCTGTTCATTCCTAAGCTGATCTGCAACAGCTTCTGTTCTGCTTAAACTTTGGCTCGGTCTCAGAGTTCCCTCTGATCACAGGGCTTCTGAACGTCTTTGAAACATTTTGACAGGTGAAGTCACAGAATTTGATCAACAGTCTGGGAATACTGGGGAATGTTCCAAATTCTCTGTCTTTGGGAGTTTATTCAAATGTGCTTTCAGTTGATGCTTTGCTTGGGGAGACTGATAAAGGTGGAAAAACAACATTTGAGTTAACCTCATAGTGCGAAACTGTTTCCTTGAAGAAAGTACCATAGGACTAAAATCTATATCATGACACTTTGCTGTATTTTCTGTGATAACAAAATAAATGACATTATAAAACAGTACTATTCTCCTCCTGTCATGCAGCTTTTTCACTCCTTGCATCAGTATTTGGTTTGACCAGTGTGTAAAACGGCACCTCTTCTCTTGATGGTGTAACTGGGGGTTCACACCCCGTGGTCAGTTGTTTTAGGCTCAGTGCCTTGGTCAGGGACACTAGGAGGTTTCATACCTGTGATTTCTACCCTCTTTCCTGCTCTGAGGTTAGAGGATGTAGTGCTTTCAAATTAAGAGCTGAGGTGTTGTCCTGGCATGATTTATCATGTAATGCCGGGGTGCTCTGGAGCAAGGCACTGGACCCTCGGCTGCCTGAATGTGATATAGCATGTGTGGTCAGTACTGGGTTGAGTGGGACGGCTGAGCTATGGTTGTCACTGGAGAAAAGAGAGGGAGGAGGTGGAGACGGATGAAATAATGTGACTTCTGATCTTTAATTTTTTTTTTCTTGTCCCTGCCCCCCTCCCCGCCCCCCTCCCCTTTCTGTAGCCAGGGTCCGCTCTCGTCCATCAGAGCAGCCATCAAGAGAAGTGAGTGCTCATCCTTTACCTCTTCATAAAATCAGTGCATAGATGATCTTAAATCCATTGGTCTGCAAATCACTTTAGTCAAATTGATGGGTTTCCTGCTGGAAACATATTAGAACCCAGAAACTCTCTCTGAGATTCTGTCAGGCTGATTTTCAGCATGTACCTGCAGTGTTTGAAAGGTTGAGTGTAGAATATACAGTGTGCTGTCACTGATTAAACGAGATGCTGTGGATCTTTGCAAAAAGAAACTGATTAGGAAGAACTGATTAGATCTGTCCTGTGAATTTGACTGGCTGGTGGAAGCAACAGGGGGCTGGCACTAATTCTGCGCTGTGCTGTTTTCTGTTTTTCAGCCTCCTCCAGGCCGAGCTCTGTCCCCGAGACGTCCAGAGACAGAGAGAGGGACCGGGACAGAGACAGGAGGTAAGACCCTGCTGGATTGTCATCACTAGATTAGGTTGCAGTTTTTAGTTTAAATCAGTCTGCAGCGGTGCACATACAGCGTCACAGTGTCCTCATTGTTCAAATCAAATCCTTTTGTTCCAGTGGGTGAATGTTGAGAAATCTTTTTCAACAGGAAACTGAAATTATGTTCAGAACATCTGCGAGTCAGACCTTTCAGCCATTTTGTCCAGTTGCTTTTGTAAACATCACAGATAACTGTAAAGTCCTCAAACACAAAGCAACAACAAGGCCAAGAGAAACTAGAGTTTCTTTGGAAAACTGTTTTGTTGTGTTGATGCTTTTCTAATCAGTTTGTCAGTCAGGAAATGTTAGATACTTTTAATGAGGACTCGCAGACATTTGACCTGTATTAACCCAACACGTGGGAGTGTCCTGTGTACTGTGGAGACAATAAGATAGAATCCAGGAGGAACAGATTTATGTCTTGTGTGACTTTAAATCAAATTTTCCACATCTGTATCTGTCACCTCAGTGTGTCTCCTGTTCATGACTTCCTGTTATTGTGACATGTTGCTAGGCGCCCAGAGATCACCATCCTGTCTGCAGAGCCGCTGGCCTCCACATCCTTATTTCCTGGAGCTGCTGGAGGATTCCCACCTCCCCCTCCTCCTGCTGCACAGATCTGGGGGCCCACGATCCCTCAGTCCTTACAGGTTATTAGTCATTGTCTGAGTTTATTCATTAGTTAATAGGATACTTCAAAACCTTTAAATCAGATTCCTGGGACATTTACTGGAGAGATTGGGTGTTAAAGAAAATCATTGCCTGCAGGTGGCTCTGCTTTGATCTCCTTCCAGTTGTATCTTTGTTGGGAATTTATATTCTTTGTTGTGTTTCCCTCTGTCAGCCTCCTCCTTCCTATGAGGAAGTGATCAGGGAGAAGACACAGGAGCAGGTTCTCCTTCCCTCTTCTTCCTCCTGCTCCTCCTCATTGTCATCACACCCAGTTTCTACAACCACCATCGCCACCCAGACTGACCCAGGATTTGCCCCCGATCCCCAAGACTCACCGGGTGAGAGAAAGCTCCTTTGTGTAGTTTTAGTAGGATTCTTCAAAGTAATCATCATATTTTTTTATTTCATAGTAAATGTTGTGATTAAACATAATGTGTGTTTCTGTGCAGTGAGAAAACCGCTGAGACCGACACGGCCGCCACTTCTCTCCTCTCCCAAATCATCTCACCTTGATGACATCACCACCAGCCAATCGACACGCACCTCCCTTAAGAGTGACGGCGTAGTACCGAACACACTCCCCGAGACGGTCACACACACCTCCACACACACTCAGTGCTGTGACCTTTGTTCACCTTTGACTCCAGCTGGGGTTCAGGGAGCTGCTGACGTGGCGGTGACTCCTGCCACTTCCTCTCATGTCCTGTTGGAGCGTCCCAGGCCTCGCCCTCGTACTAAGCTCGGTTTGCAGCCAATCAGCAGCGAGGTCAAAGTTCAGACTTTGGTGAAGCTGCGTGAGGACGGTTTGGCCACATTAGCTGCCCGTGCCCAAAGTGGCTCTGATAACCAAGAGGCGAGTCAGGGGAAGTACCTGCAGGAGCTGCTTGAGGCCTTCAGCTCTGACATCTGGGGCTTTCCTGAACACCCTGGTGACAGCAGCGGGAACAGCCAATCAGAGAGCGAGGAAGAGGACAGGGAGGACATGGCGACTCTGAAAGCAAGGATACAAGCCTTTGAGCAGCAGCAGCAGGTGGCTGATGGGAACTGTGGGGATAGTAACAGTAGAGACTTGGTGGTCACAAAGAGACCTGAGCCCCGGCCACGCCCTCGTCTCCAGGGGCAACCAGCCAAATCAGTCCCTCCTGCCATCGCCCCAAAACCTAAAACCTTTTTAAGTGCCCCCAAACCTTCCAGCAAGGTATTCTGGGAAGCTGATGGTGTGACAGCAGCAACAGCTGACTCAGGTGGCACCGAGGCTTTGAACCATCTTGTACTTTGGCACCTGCTCCAGTGTTGGTACCCCAGCCTGGCAAAGCCTCTGAAAAACCCTTGTTAGTGCCAAAACCACAGTGTGCCACAGAATCCCTCCCATCCCCTACCCACTCCCTTGCCTCTGCCCCTGTCCCAGCCCCCAGGCCGCCCCCACCCAAGCTCTCCCCTCTTAGTGACAGCCCCAGACTTCCACCCAGACCCCTAGTCGCCCCCAGGGCCAGCATGGGAGCCCCGCTGCAGGAGAAGAGCACTGCCACCTGGCATGCTCCCCCCTCTCTACCCCCGAGACCCTCCACTGAGGTCGGCAGCGGCGCACAGACTGAGGCTGGAGGTGATGAGATACGGGACACTACAAAGCCACCAGGTGAGTGTTGTTCAGGGACTTTTCCTTAAAGGTGAATCTCTAAACTTGACTGACCTCTGCAGGTGACAGGTGGGAACTACAACAACACTGCATTTAGTTTTAATTTCATCATACAGTAACAAAGGAGTTTATAAAATATCCTCATGACAGAGCTTAAACAATAAATTGATTTGTCTGAATCTTATCAGCAACTAATTTGATCAGTGATTTAATGATAAGTAAAATTACCAAACATGATCTAGTTCCAACTTATTGAAATTGCTTCCGGGTTGCAAGCGAGAGCAGACGTCTTTACTGCTCCTCTTGTCTGTTCTACGATTTTTCACATCTTCTACATTTTCAAGTCTTTGAACAAATTCTACAACTATTAAAATGCCTCCAAGAGGGAAAAGAGCTAATAAATCAGAAGCAAACGAGGATGTTGAGGCAGAAGAGGATTATATTTCAG